TGTACATATCCACATGCTATTTCAGGCAACTTTGTCTAAACTATTTGCAGGCATGAGAGGCCACGTTAAACAGGAGAGGGGGTGCACAAGATGCTAAGCTCTGACTGCTGTACGTGAGTCATTCTCTGCCAGCTCTGACCTGCAGGGACAGCATGTGAAGCAAAGGAAGTTATCCAAACCCAAGATCTGAATCACCAATTCCAGAGACACAACTGTCTTTCTATGGAGCTGCTGTTATTCCATGCTCTGAAGTGCTTCATCTTCTCCAGCTGATGGTCAAAAGTGCATTCCTATCAAAATCTGATCAGCATTTTAGTTGTGTACATCATTGTGCAACATTTTCCTTCATTTTTTAAGTGTATGTATACATTCACATCACCAAGCTGGTATTTCCAGCCACTGCAGGAAAATAAATTTACACAAACCTCACATTACACTGCTCAGGAATGACAGAGACACCAATATCTGTTGGGAAGAAGAGCAAACATCACTTTAAAAAAAGCACAGACGAAACACCAAAACGTTCAAACTCGTACTATATCACCACCTATTAAATAGCAGCTTTGACAGTGCATCCAAGTGATGCTAAAAAAAACCCTAAACTGTTGGTTTGTCTCCATCCATGCGCGAGGCACACTGAGCATTTTGGCTGTCCTGACAAACTTGATCCGATAATGGCTTTTGGATGGGTTATTCTTGGCCCCCAGCGTAGCAGCATTCCCTGTGCTTATCCTGGACGGTTTGTATGCAGCACCATCCTAAGTGACCTCCTCTGCAGGCCGTGCATATTTCAGACATTAAACTAGATAATAAAACAACATACCGGATATCAGCAAGTGTTAATAAGATGTAATTCATTCCTGGCAAGCCCAGAACTCAGATCTCTAAAAAAAAAAAACACTAACAAAAACAAAACACACACGCAGGTTCACAAGGCCAAAGACCAAAAGGAGTTCAAATGTGCAGAGCTACTTTCATCTGCTCGAGCGCTGTGTAATTAAGAACAATATTTGGAATGCAGCAAATTCCCCCAGAACCATAGGTAATAAAATTCAGATTTAAAGAAAAATACAAGGAAAGGAGTCAACGAGAGCTCATCATTTGTACAGCAGGACTACAAGGTGTCTCCGCGCGCTATGAGATCCCTCCAGTTCCTGTGTCTGGCTGACCCCAGGAACGTCTCACTTGACTTCACTGCACCAGGGGCTTCCTCTCCAAGACAGGGGCCGGCGAGCTCCCCGCATCCTTGACTGCCGGCCAGAAACGCAGCAATGGCTCCGAGCGCTCCAAGACAGATCCTTCTGATTATCACAAAATGAAATTTTCAGCTCTTGTCATCATCGGCCTCAGATTTGTAATGTTACAAAAACATGATTTCCTTTCCCCATTGTATCAAGCCCTCTTCCATTCCCGCTGGTGAAATCAAACAATTTTAAAAGAATTTATATGATGCTAATTTAAACCGAATGTATTTAGCTGCCAATCGCAGTTCCCCGACTCTCCCAGGCCTCCTGCCAGCTCTGCTACACTCCAGAGCGACTATCAATCATGGCCAACAGACCGAGGAAACAGACCCAGCGATGCAAGAAGTGATACTGGTAATTCTGGCAGTAGAAACCTTGCCCTTCACTTTTGGCAGAACAATGTGGGGTGACCCCACACAATGGGAGGCTCCAAAAGCTTCAGTCCCTCATCACTTTTCATTGGCGAAACAGCCCATGATGCTTTTTGCAGGAATAAACCTAACACATTGCTCAAATTCCAGCATCGCTTCCAGCTCTGGTTTTGCAACTGGATGTGGCAAGTTGACCTTCCTCCCCAAGCCACTGTGCAGGAGCAGTATGCCTTCACTGCTGGAAAGCCACCAAGTCCAACTTTGGAGATAAGTCTGTTCACAGAATCACAGAATCTTAGTGGTTGGAAGGGACCTCTGAGATCATCGAGTCCAACCACAAAAAAAAAACCACACCACACCAAACGCCCACCAAAAACACCGCACCCACCAACTAAACCCCACACTCAACACCTTGCCATAAACCAATAACCTTGGGCACAGAGGGTGAAGGAAACCCCTTCCAGAGTCTGCACTTTGCTCTAGTAAAACAGCAGAAAATGGGGATTTGGAGGAGACTGAAGAGGTATACTTCACTCTATCATCTGTAGGCAAACTAAAAACATCTAAACATTACCTTCTTGGTGAATCATGTTTTGACACTCCCTTGCAATGGCCCAACTAGCATCTACGTGGAAGGAAAAAAAAAAATCCTTTCCAGTTGAGTATTTTTCTGCTGGATACACCAAAATGATGAAGTTCTGATGTACCCATAACAGAGATGCCAGCAGCATCAACAGGCAAAATAAAAATTTACAATAACCTAAACCTCAATTTAGAAATCCTTAAGGTCCAAAATGGCTTGAACTGAGTAGAAGATGGTGAACGATGAAGAACTTCTGTAAGTGCGTAAGGCACAAAAAACACTGAAAGAACAGAGTGCTTGGCTCAGGTCAAAGCAGGGACTGCAGTGCTGGCCGAGGGGCTATCTGGAGCTGAAGAACAAACAGTCAACTTAGGAGGATCTCAAAACATTAGCAGTTGAAATAAACACTGAAGGACAAAAGGTGAAGAGTAGAGAAAGAGTCTAATGAAGACAAAGTTGTGGGAAGAAAGAAAACACTCTTTAGAGGTTTTGTTCAGATGCATGGCTGCTTGCTGGCTCACACCAGGAGCTTCGATAATCCAGTATCACAAAATCAAACACCAAACTCCACCAAAGGAGGGGAGGATGACAACAGGGTGAGTAAATATAGTTCTTTCCCCCAGGTCTTCTCCCCACTGTTGTCAAATCAGGCACTTCTTGAGCTCAAAACAGTCTGTTAGTTAGCAATCCACAGGGAACCCGGTAAAAACAATTGGCCAGTTTGTCCTGTAAGACGTGGAAAATTGTGCACGAGGAGCTCCACAGGTCTATCAGCCACAGGATGAAGAACCAACTTCCCCCCAGCCTTATTTCAAGTGTGGCACCTACTAGTTTCACTCACTTATTTGGGTAAGGCAGGAGCAGCCACTCTCTACCAACCCCCTATTGACTCTCCTGATTACGCAGGTGGCAAATATTGCAGAGAGGAGGAAGAGTCAGAAGTGGTGAGCAAAACCCAGGTGAGTGCCCATAGCAGAAAAATGGATGCCAGTATGGGCTAGTTGAACTTTCTTAGCTTTGCTGTAAAAAGTCAGATTTCTTTAGAGCAATACACAGAAAACTAAGAGAGCTCCAGGCAGGGCACGAGTTCTCCCCAGGAGCAGGAGGGATGGGAGGGAAGAACAGGAAGAAGTGCACCATGGACTTGAAAGTGACAGAAAGCACAAAACTATAAAAATATCTCCAGTCATAAGACAGCAAAGGAAGCTATTTGAAATTATGGAGAATTTCAAAATTGGTCTGCCTAAGCAGCCACAGAAACGTTGCTGAACGTGCATATCTCTCCCCAGCCATCAAAGCAATCAGCCATGGTACCAAGAGGTTTGAATACAGCATCACGATGACAAAACCAGAAAATACAAAAGGATGCAACATCTGCATCCTCTTATGTCTCTATAATTGGCAAATATCCTTAATAGGATGCAAAGAAGTTCTTTATTTATTTGAAGCTGCATATTTGCTGCATTAATAGCGCACCAAAAGACAAATGAAATTCTTATTTGTTTCCAGACACAGAGCCACAGGAGCCAAGGAAGAATCTTTTTAAAAGTTTAGCTGCCATAATGAACAAAAATAGAGTATTTTTTCTGTAAGCAATTATTGTTTTAGAAACTGCTCTATCAGGTAAATTCAACCCAACACCACCTGTAGCCTTCCCACACATCTCCACTGTGCACATCTGGCTCCACGATGTCACAATAGGCGACAGCATCTTTCTACAGACTCAGAAAGACTAGTTTGATTCTATGTAACAACTAACAAAAACATCTGCTGAACCCTCAGATGCAGAATGGCATCTCTCCATAGCTCCATTACACAATGTAAAGCTTGGTTTGTTTTCCCAAAATACTAGAAAGAAGTTGGAAAGACAGTAAGGCAGCAGATATACTGTAAATTAAATCAATTAATAGAAATTCTCAAGCTAGACCATTTTACAAAAAGAATGATGTTTATGAAACAGAAAATTGAACTTGCCTCTACCTCTTAACTATAAACATACCAGCATAATTTTATCATGTGAAAAACTATAGTGAAGAGTCTTTTCCATAAATCAACAAGTTCAAACCATCAATCACTATCAGAGGAAGTAGTTTACTGCTCCTGGAAGGTAACATTTCATTACTACTGGATTTGAATTTCATCAAAGTAGCAAAGTTCTTTTTAAGAGCCACTGTGAGCAATGCTCCCTGGCTATGATAAGAAAAAACTGTATTGACATTCAAATCTAGAACATTAAAGAAGAGTGGGCAAAGGCAATTCCACTTTAATACACACATGGGGATGTTCAGTTAATCAGGTTCATCTTTCACAGACATCAGCTGCTAGGCAAATGCAAGCAACCCACAATGAAAGTCTACCTAATATTTGGAAATCAGTTCAAGATGCAAAAGAAATAAAATTGCAGTGTGTGAACTCCTATTGCTTTACTCCAAACCTGGGAAACCAACAGGTTTCTTCTAGTTGCCACCAGGCACAGCAGCACAAATGCCCCTGTCCTGCTAAACAGAAAATATGAGTTACACACCGCAACTGCACGTAGCTCTGGGCTACCAAGAGCCTAGGGCAAAACACAGGCAGGAGAAGACAATAGCAAAAATGGTCCATCACTTTTCAAAAGTATAAAAACAGACGATAAACTCTAGTAGCAACCACAGAATGAAGAATCATTGCTTCATCTAGTAAGAAAATTACTTCAATACTTGAAACTAAGTTCACTGCCTTGGGATTGGAAAAATAGAACTTTGTTTACTGTGACTGTGAATCACCCTCGTCTTCCCAAAAAGCTTCCAGCACAAGTCCTACCTGTTTCATTGCAGTCTCTCCAATCTTGTCAGAGTGTTTACGGATACTCTCCAGGAAATCCTTGAGGTCTGACATAGAAACTTCTTTGATCTCTTCACGCAGCTTTGGAATATTATCCACCATGATCTTGCAGAAGCGGTAGTGGCTCACTTGGGGCAGGTATGTGTGCTCAAGGTGCTCAAGGGTCTTCAGCGCAGGGTAGTGTCTGGAGAAAGCAAGGCAGGCAGATGTGGAAAGAAGGACGGCTATTTCCATCCCACTTCCTCTCCAAAACATGCATTAACTGCAAATAATTCAATATATCCAAGAATCTCAGCTCTTTTCAAAGGAACATAGACCATCCAGGTTACCATAAAAGCATCATTTTCCTTTCGAAACAGAGAGGCAGAGGAACACAAAGGCAAGTAGCAGCTCCTTACTCAAGAACTTTGATGTGCAGATAAGGTCCAGCTGGGTCACAAGTAACCAGCATCAGCTGAGTCCAGCAGCAGCTCTCACCCACAGCAAAGCTATTTGGGACACCATATCACAGACTGAAGAAAAAGTTGGCAACCACACAGAGTACTGTTAGGTTATACGAGAAAAAGCTCAGCCCCATGCACACAGAGGAGCAGAGAAGCATGATGGCTCATAGGGGAATCCCAGAAAGACCCTGTACTGGTCTTGCCTAGGAGAGCCACCAGCCTCATGGACAGGGGTGACACTCATCATAGTGAGCAGGTCTCTGGAGCACCACATACACCAAGGCATCTCTGTCAGGTATGAGGCACGTTATGGGACACAGCATTTGGGGACTTGCATCTCTAACTCTCTTCCTGGGTGAAGGACTCTCTATTCTGGGTGCATGTGTGTGCACATCACCTTCATCCCAACCAGCCAGCGGATAGGATGATGCTGTTGGTGTTCGTGAGCGCGGAGTGTTTCTGCCTATTGAGATGTGGCTGGCTCTGTGCATATACAAGTGTACACGTTGTATACATGCCTGCTGGGAACACACAGCCTTGCCCCTGCTTGGACCCAGCGCATGGGGTTACAGCAGACTTGCCTCCACCAGGCTACCAGATTCAGCAGCCCCAAACAGCAAGATGCCATAAGACAGAAGCATGGAGGCAGGAATATACCATAATATACCATAGACAGATACACTAGTGTCTAACACATCTCAATATCCAGTATATGCTACTAGCACAGATACTTATTGTTTTGTTGTAAGGATCTTGGACAGAAGATCTCTCCAACTTCTTTCCTATACATACCATACAACACCTTCCTCCCAGCTGTTGAAATGCTGCTAAGCACCATTAAAAACCCTTTCCACTCAAAATACTTTTTATTTAAGTAGAGGTGAAAACGATCTGGATACAAACCCCCTAGATTAAGGATCCAACAGATACATTTTCTACAAAGTCCCTGCCTCTCCAGCAACTACTGTTGTACGAATGCAGTGTATGAACTTTGCAATGTTAAAAATAAATTTATAAGGTATATTCTTTTTAGAGTGGGGAAATAAGTTAAGACCAGGCTTTTGGTTCTAAGAATCCCAATGTTTCTTCCCTGATGCACAATGCATGTCTTTATGTTTTGGTCATGCTCAATGGCCTTCGGAAAGGTACCATAAATATTATGCAACCTTTCTGCATAAAAGCAACCTTCATAGCTTGACAGAAGATGCTAAATGGGAAACTATTCTAAGCAAATAACTTTTCTCAAACACCCTCCCTCGTATCCCTTTGGGAAGTGGGAGACCATAGAATTTGCCTGTTCGCTGGAATTCACAGGCCCTCCTGAATGGCAATGTAAAATGCAAGACCATCCTCCATCTGGTCTGACCACAGATCCGGTGAAAGGTTAGGGGAAAAAAAAAAAAGTATCATCAGACAACCACCTAGGAAGCATTAGCAGGGTCTATAAAAATACATTTGAGACTAACACCAGGTCACAGTCACCTCCAGGGTGAATTAAGGCAACTCCAGCTGACTACACGTATGGGTAATCCTGCCCACAAGCACCTGCCATTTACATCTTGAATTTTTGGAGGAGAAAAAGCATCGCCATAAGAAACATATTAGCAGCATTGAAAAAAAGACCTGACACTTATATTCCCATTCAAAATAACTCTTGCCTGAACTCCAGGCAGGTCGACAGTGGAGTTATTTTAACCAGAAGTGGCCTGTCCTGTTCCCAACACCAGAAGTCAAACGGATTAACCATGTAAGCCAGCCAGTGTTTACACTACAGTGAGGTATGAAAAACTATTTTCAGTAAAATGCAAACCTCTCCGGAGAGAAACTTAAGAGGGAACAGAAAGCCAGAAATTAAACCAGAGGAATAAACACACATTGGGGGGATTGTTATATTTTAGAGCAGTGTTTGTTGAACTAGGAGGAGGAAAAAGGTGGCTGGGGGAGACACCATGCGGTCATCAATGGGGTCCTCAGATGCCTGTCAAAAACACACGAGGACAGAGGAAAGCTCAACACTGCTCTTGCATGAGATGTGCAGAGGCCAGCAATTCCTGCAGCTGAAGCACTGCCACCTCAGCACAGATTGCAACCCTTATGCTAATGCCTGTTTTCAGTCACCCAGAGGGGCCATGTTCTCGCCCAGCTCTCTAACCCCATCACAACTGCACCAGTGAAACAGGAGCCCTTACTGAGTGGGGGAAGGAGCACTTCGATAAAACAGAGTTAGAGCTGGCTTTTTTTGTGTTTTGGGGATTTTTTTTTTTGTTTGGTTGGTTTAATTTGTTTTTGGTTTTTTTTCCCTGGAAATACCCAGGCTCTGTTCAAGTGGGTACAGCTCTACAGAGGCTTCTTGGCTACGAGCAGTATGAGCATTCTCATTTCTTACTGTTTGGAGACCACATGGATATGACAAGTAACCTAGGGGAAAAAAAAGAAAAAAAAGACTCATCCCTCCAGAGTCCTGCAGAAGGCGGGAGATGCTTTCTCATCACTTTCCAACAAGCAGCCACATATATCCCAACTGTTGGAAAAAAAAGCTCTTTCTGTCCCTTCCTTAAATTCTAGACAACAGCAGATGAAATGTTTCTCTCCATCTCTTCTCTCTGCTGGTTGCAGAGTCACTCCTTTGGGTTCGGAATATGCTTCGCTCCCCTTCTCCAGCTCCAGTTAATGGCCACAGTTTCTGCATTTGGTAAATGCCTGCATTCGGTTTATAAACACCAAGCAGTAAACAGTACATAACTCATTGTCTACCTTGGGAGACTTGAGTTTATTCACCCAGAACACAAAACCTATTACTCCTCTGAGACTGCGTACCCAAAACTCGAGACTCACACTAGTAACAAACCCCCTTGCTAGCTATCATGAAACGATATATAAGTGAGATCAGGTGCAGACACAAAAATGTTTAATAAGTTGTGCTGCGTTTGGTGAATGAAGCCATCAAACCCAGAAAAAGAAAGGAGGAGGAAAAAAAAAAAAGCCAAGTGTTCAGATTTTCTTTAAATGTGGCTTTCAACTTCTATTTGTTTCAAAATGAACCAATCCAAAACAGAGGGCTGGGGGAAGATGCAATTCTTAGAAGCAGACCCTGGAAACACTATCCAGAGCAAGGGAATCAAGCAGCATGTGGATTCCCTTCAAAAGTTAACAGCGCTGTGATCAGCTCCAGCTCCCCACCCCACATCTGTCAACAGATAAGCCCCTCGCTGTTCCTATAAACAGAGTAAAAGCAGTTGGACAAAGTATACACTGCCTTATTCCATACTCAGCTATCCTGAGAAAAAGAGAGCAAGCTTTGCTAACAGCTAAATGAGCTCCCTAGAACTCCATCGGCCAGCCCAGCTTTCAGGAGTAATGCTTATCTGTTCACCCAAGGCTCCTGGGTCCAAGGACCACAGAGATCAGTAGAGGCAGGAGGGGAAGTGTAAAAATACGCCCATCCAATTAGTTATCGCCTTGTTTGAAACATCTGTTTTCTTCTGTATTGTTTCTATGATGGATGGCAGGCATAAACCAGGCATCAGATCCCATCGCGCTCCCTGCATGGCATTCAGCTGGAGCCTGCCGCGTTTTGAGCTGACCTCCTTCCTCCAGCCGCTCTTCGCCCAATTTGCCACCCCCAAGGCTACAAGGCGCCTCCAAAGCCCCATGCTGCTTAAACAAACCACCCCCCAGGATCCCGGCCATGCAAATATCCCGGACCGTGGTTTAATCCTTCAGCATCACAACAGATGCAGGGTGGGAAAAATCCTAGATTTACAGCTCATGATTTCTGAGCCACAAAGTCCTTGTAGCTCAGCTCACTAACAATTATTTCTACCACAAAATAAGCAGTATTCCTTCTCACCAACTTCTACCGTCTTGCACAAAGTATCTTGGGTGTTTGGCTTCCATTCGTGTTCTTTGGATTCTTTCAAATTGTAACAGTTTTTATATTATGACATTCATAGAATGAAATGTAGTTAATAATGCATAAGTACGAGTCAAGCATTGATTACACACATCATAACAGTGAGCCTCCATGGAAAAAAAAGTGAACATACTCCTTAATTAAAAAGCCTAATACAAAACGATATTAAGACCCCGCTGCAATCCCGGTCCTAGGCTGTACCCGTAGGAGGCTGAGCGAGACTATGAAGATACCAGCCAGAAATCAGATAAGTTAACTTGGAAAGGCTGATTTCTAAGTCCTAAGTTTTGAGAAGCTCTTTAATTTATCTAGCACCAAAAGGGTGCTTTTCAACTCTTCCAATATAAACATCAGTCTGTACAAAATTTACCTTTTAGATTTCATTTGCTCTCGCAGTTTGCTGTACATCTCCAGGACTAGAAAGAGAAAGAAAACGCACAAACATTGAGACACAAGCACAAAGCAAAGAGATGTAAATTAAAATAAACAACCATATAAATAAAGAGCAATTTCAGATTCCTCACCAGGAAGACACAGCGTTAGCTTATCAACCGTCGCTGAAATATTTCTCTGTTGTAATCGGCATTGCTTCAGCTCTTCCATTGCTATTATCAACTTCGGAAAGGAAAAAAGAAAAAAAAAAAAAAGAAGTTTCACTAAGAAGAGTAAACAGAGTAGAGAGGATATAAACTGCTTTGCACTTGTCACGACTGTCCAAACAGTTGGTTAACAACAAAGCCTGCTCTGATAACCAGAGAGCTCACCAAGCACTGAAGTGCATTGTTGAAGTAAGAAGGACAGGCAGCTTCAGGTTGTTTAATCGAGTAACAGAAACGTTCCCTAGCCTATTTCAAGCAAGCAAGCAGCAAAACCAAAGCCATCAAAATACCAGCCTTGTAGCACGTCCTGTGAATTCCAAAAATTATTTCCCCTTCCCATTTTATTCATCTCTTCCCTACTCCCTTTCCAAGCTACTCTTTTCTAGTTCTCCTCAAAGACAGGATGTGGCCGCTTGCTCCCAGGGGGATTCTTACCATCACAAACTAACAACGATTTTTTAAATACTCAGTCTCCAGCAGAAAAACCTGTTCATCTGGACAAGGGCAAAACAAAGATCAGTCATCGCATACAAAAGAGAACTCTTTAGTTTCTCTTTTTTTTTTTTTTTCCTCTCCAAAAGGGACAGGTCATGGATTTGTCCTCTAGAGTACCAACTTATCTCCACAGTACCACACTGAGTTTGCAGTCCTTTTGAAATCCCAGACTCCTATTCTTGGAGGCAAATCCTCCATCAAGGTAACACAGAGGTATGTTTATTTGATTCAGGACAGAAGCTGCATCACCTCCTCCCCAAAGGGCATTTTTATCTTTAATCTTGGTTAGAATAATTGGGCTAATGCAGTCCAACATGGGGATTTTCATGTTTGTTTTCCAAACGCAATGCAGCTGACAAACAGCAATGACTGCATGTACCCTCAGCAAAATGAAGTCTGGGTGTCTGGGAGGGCAGTTAAGAAGGAAAACAGAAAAGCTGCAAAGATAGATCTATATGGAATATGAGCAGAGCAGTGCAAGAAGGACCATCCCTGTGGGTTCTCATCCATCTTCATCTTAGGCACTTGAAAAACTTCAAGCACCAGTGCCTTCACACATACTCAGCTCTGAAGTCCCCCCAGTCTGTTAATGTTCCCTTATGATGAAGGGACAGAAGAATTAATGTGGTTAGAGGCACATCACATCCAAGACATGCTCAATCACTTCCTTTTCTTCAAGCCTTGATGCCTTTACCCATGCAGCTTAAAAACCACCCTGACTTTAATTGCTGCTGTACTGCACTGTGAAGCGGGAGCCAGACTCTTCAGCTCATATTCACAGAATCACAGAATGGTTTGGGTTGGAAGGGATCTTCAAAGATCGAGTTTCAATCACCCTGCCATGGGCAGGGACACTTTTCCACTAGACCAGATTTCTCAAAGCCCCATCCAAACTGGCCTTGAACACTTCCAGGGATGGGGCATCCACAACTTCCGAGTCAACCTGTTCCAGTGTCTCACCACCCCCATGATAAAAAAATATCTTCTGTACATCCAGTCTAAACTTACCCTCCTTCAATTTAAAACAATTGCTCTTTGTCCTGTCACTACAGGCCCTAGCAAGAAACCTCTCTCCATCTTTCTTTTAAGCACCCTTTAAGCACTGAAAGGCCACAAGAAGGTCTCCCTGGAGCCATCTCTTCTCCAGGCTGAAGAACCCCAACTCTCCCAGCCTTTCCTCATAGCAGAGGTGTTCCAGTCCTTTGACCATCTTTCATGGCCTCAAAGCACTCCAACAGGCCCATGTCTTTCCAGTGCTGAGGGCTCCACAGGTGGAGGCAGCACTCCAGGAGGGTTCCCACTAGCACAGAGGGGCAGAATCACCTCCCTCAACCTGTCGGCCATGCAGCTTTGGACGCAGTACTGTTATGAACTATCCTGTTCACACCACTCAGGACTGCAGGAGCAAGCCCACAACTTGATTATTGTTGCTTCAAGTCCCTCCTGCTTCCCAGGCTTTGCCTTCCACTAGCTTTCAATCCACAAGCAGTAAAAAAAGAAAAATCACTTCCCAACACCCTCACACAACTCATCTTCCATGAAGCAAAGCAAAATACAGGAAGGAGAATCAACGCACACTTTAATACCAATGCTGTGCACATTATTAGTTAATGCTGGGCAGTTATTGATGCTCTGTGCATCTTGCCAGTAGCGAACACAGCCAAATATGGAAAAGCAAAAAAAAAAAAAAGAATGAATGTATCACTTACTTCTTTTCCTTCATTCTGCAGCTTTCGGTTGGTGTCTGTCACTTGATTCTGCAGGGATATTGGGGAAAAAGACAAAGCACATCTACATGTAAACCAAGACAATGTTTTACACAAAAAAAGAAATCGTACATAAACACCATCGCTTTTCACACAATCTTTTCTTGCATGTCATAAAACAGTTTATTAGCTGATTTAATAGCCATCGCCATTATGGCACACAGGACGCCAAGAGCCACACAGCAAACACCAAGGGTGCCACAAAAGGATTTCCTGGTTACTAGAGAAAAGTAAAGGCAACAGGAATTAATACTGTTGCATGACAGCCTCAAAAAGCTGCAGTCTTAATGGATCAAATTTTGCAGCAGATGCTCACATGCATTCTCATCTTAAAGCTATTTTACGTGAGTGGTAGAGGTAAAACATGGAATTAAATTTCCCATCCCCAACATGAAACGGATTACAATTAGGTTTTAATTCCTTAATATCACAGCAAGAAAAGAACTCTTCAATGTGGGCTTTACCTATAAAATTCAAATATTTTCTGTTAGATCTTCAGATGCATCTCCCACTGGATTCCTCCTCCTGGCTGGTATAGAAAGGTATTTTTATATCCCTGGTATAAAAAAGGTATGTATTTTCTTTACTAAACCATCTTTCTGTATTATCCTATCAACCTGGGGCTCACAGTTCAAAAATTTCCCACTTTTCAAACTTGTCAGTTCCCCAGATAGCAAGATCTCAGCAGTTCAGCTCTTTACAGCTCTAGGCATTAGTTCAACTCAGTAAAAACACACAAGAACAAAGGTAAATTTTAAACTTGTCAAAATAGAAAATAAGCAGCTTACACATTATTTAGACAACAAGCAGAAAGATGACCTTGGGAATTCTGCTGTATACTCATTCAAGTTCAGACAGAACAAGGTTTGTAAATACAGATACCATCTTCTACAGACCAGCTGGGATAGCTGAAAAAAATTAAAGTAAACATGACCAGCTTCAGGTCTTCAGCAAAAACAGCCAATTATAAAGGTAAATACCAGCAGAGGAGGACTGCTCAGAGTTCAGGTGCCTCACATCAGTCCGACACTAACATGCCATAAATCTACTTTTTTTTTCTCCCCATAGAATGCTCTTTTCACAGCTACTAAAGTTGTAAATATTCATTTCCAGGCTCATCTCTGTAAGATGCCTCAGAGGTTTCTAGTTTTACACAGTCTCACTGTACAGTGGAAGCTGCTTCTGGATTTCAGCTGGCATCATCAAATTTTATGAACTAGTTCCTGTGTGTTTTCAGGAGTTCTGTTAATTCTCTAGGCAAAATCAGTAACAGAGCTTGGACAAAAGCATGAGCTGCAACATGGAGCTCTCAAAGTGTATTCAGGAGCATAACATCACACAAACCAACTTAAAATCTTTGTTTCCTGACACTTTTCAACACTTGCAGAAACAAACTGAATTTTTAATGAATTTATCACTAGTGAAGGAACATCATCTGATGCTCTCCAATTATCTAACAGAATGAGGATGGTGCACAGAGCAGCAACAATAGCAGAGCAAAGCAGGACAAGCTTCAAAGTGACTTCAGAAGGTAACAGCCATCTTTATCCTCTGTGAGCGCGCCACTAGGCAACCAGTTCAGATAGGAGGCAAGTTTTGTGTTAATATATACAAAATTGATTCAGGATCCAATTTGTTTCCTGCTGACTATTGAAAGGTACTGGTTAACAGTGATTTCCCATATTGGTCCAAATTTCAATAGGAGGTCTCATACTGAGAGGTTGATGTTGCTTCAAAGAGCAGAGTCATCCACAGCCTCACAGGCTTCCTTTTATTTTAACACTGGCCATGCTGGTTTTGAAGCTTATATCGTGATGTAAGAAGAGGAGTCATCCCATGATCTCCCCGCACACAATTTCTCAACAGCATCTGCATCATATTGCTCCCCCTTCTGCAGTAGCTTCAGTTCTCCTGGCTGCTTGCCCTGTGCAAAAACTGCTCATTTCCTTTATGATGTATTGAGATTTTACAAGCAGAAGCACAGCATCTCTTCCAAAGATTATTTTATTTGCTTATATCCTGAAAATCCCACCAGGAAAAAGGAATCCATGTAGGGTAATTTAAAACTGCTCCTAAAAATAATGCCAAGGCTGTACTAGTCTTCTGTTAAAATTACATATCAATCCCAGCTAAAGCAAAAAGTAAGAGTATACTCTGCCCTTGTACACTAAGAGTTTTCGGGGGTAGAGGGTTGTGTTTTGTTTTGTTCTTAAGGTCTACATCCATACATTGAAAAAAAGAGATGATTATTTATATAGACTCTCAGTAGACAGCTGAAGCTTTTCAGACGAAGAGGTTTTATAATCTAAGACAGACGCACAGCAAGGGGGGGACAGACAACAGGTGGGCACATGTGAAAAACGAGACAAAGGATCACACAATGGCTTACAGGATGCTCAAGTCGTTAGTTCATTCATCTATATATGGAACATGTGGTATGGAGCAGGGCTTTGGTTTTGGGGTTTTTTAACATCACTCTGCTATCATTTAGAGAGTGCCAGAGTGATGACAGAGAGGCACAAAGGGCACTAGAGAGGAATCCTGGGAATGGACTTGAAGGGCAGCACCGTGACCCGACACAGCAGTGCTGACTCCATCCCTCTGTCCAACACCCACCTACTGCTGATTTTCACCCTCCCTAAGAAATGGAGGGTGACTATGGAGTGATCCTTCAAGTCAGTAGTTTATGAACTTCCCAATCTGGTGGGTGCGCCCAAAGACTGAGTTCATTATTCACCACTGCAGTCATTTCTCCATTTATCTAACCCCATGGAAATACAGCCTTTGCACTTTTAGATCATTGCTGCATCCTGGGGCAGCAAGATTCCCTGCTTGGCTTCACACAGGTGAAGGTGATCCTCCCTTTGCTCCAAGCTAGTTGCCATTCCATAGTGGCAGGTGTTAAGTGCTAAACTTGGGCAGAGGTAACCAACCACATAAAAGAGGACTACGAATGACTCAGTAGTAGCACTTCAAAAATGGACCCAGTGATCACAGTACAAACTGATGAAAAGCCAGTGCTGTGCTGTTATCAAGAAAGCAAGCATCACATGAGTATGCATGAACAAAATCCTACAACACACCTGAAATAACCCTTCTACTCCACTTCATTGGTGACTGATTGCCTTCCTCAGCTTAGAAACCATGCTTATCACCAAAAAAAAAAAAAGAAAAGAAACACAAAAACCCACCAAACCTAACTGCACTAACTGGAAGGACTTCAGAGTAAGAAAGTAAAAAACGGTGAGATGCCTAGAAAGCACAACCCTCTAGGATGGATTGGGGCTACCTATTATACAGAGGACAAGACCAGAGAAGAACACTCCTAAAACCTCCAACCTGTAGAAGACTGCTGCAAAACCAAGAAGGAATGATCTCTCTTTTGTGCCTGACACGCCAAGAAGCAGTAGACCTAAAAAAGAATTTTCAACCAAGTAACCTGAGTTTCTTAGAGAAGGAAGGACAGCAGTACCTGGGGAAGGGCAAACAGAAGAGGTTAGATAAAAATCCATTAGGAATGACACAGGTGAAGAACTTGCTCTTTTAAGAGGTTAAAAAAAAAATAGACTAGGTGATTTCCTGAGGTTGCCACCAGCCCTGTGACTGTGATCCTTTCACCTTTGCACCTCAAGTCATGTTTTCCAAGTTGAACTATCTGAACGCATTATCTATTTTTGACCTTGTAATTTCCACTGGAAACTTTTTAGATGGAACAGCTGGACTGGTATTTGGTTTCCAAGACCCAATAGTACTATGGGTTTATAGGTTTGAGAACAGCTCAACACCACACTGCTCACTTCCTAATGAGGAAGAATATTTGTGCAGTACAAGATATGAAAACATTGAAGATGTGTAACAAAAAAAACCCAAAGCAACAAGACTTTCCTTGGAAACCCTATAAAGAAATTAAAAGTAAAGAAATAATTGCTATGGTGAAGACGTATACTTTAAAAAAAATTAACAAATGCAAAAAGTTTTTTTTAAAAAGTCTTATGGCTTACATATCATCAAAATTAAAGAGACACCTCTTTGAAAACATATCCCATGTACTTTCAATTAACTTACTTTTTTATCCATATATAGACAATTAATCAGTGACACAGCATCTCTTGAAAACAACACAACACTGCCTAGTGCAGAAATTCATTGCAGAGGAGCTCTTCTGATCAGGCTGATCAAGAAGATAAAGTTCCCAGTTCAGTACTAGCCCTCTGCAGGGCACAAAACCAGGACAGCAAGTTTAGCCATACAGTCCTGATCAGGTTTTAGGTTGACTTGGAGACACCTGAAATACAACATTACAGTACAGAGAGAAGAGGGCAGCTGTGTTATACATAAATGGGAGAAGATAATGCGTTCAGCTCTTAAAACAACAAATGCTGATATTTCTGCAAGTGTGATATTATACAAAATACCCCAAAGCTAAAAACACGCGAGTGAAGATACATACTAGAGATGCAATACGGAGGGCATTTATTTTATTGCTGGTTGCACGTATTTTCAAAGACCAGCACTATTGAGAAAAAGACCAAGACCAAATAGAGAATGAATAGCTGGAACAAAACACACTCTCACCACTGGACCCACGGATGATTCTCTGGGGAAACCCTTACAAAGAGGACTCAGTATTTCTCAAATAAGTTTCTTTGTATATTTTCCCATGTGCTGTTTTATAGATCACATAGTAATGGAAATCAAGAGAGATCCTGAGGGTACAGAGATGGACTTCACAGTGCGCCACCAACAAAGTAGCTGTTTGTAGAATGGGAAACAGCAACAAGCCTTTGCAAACAAACAATGTGGAATTCTTGGCTAGAAACAATAGCTTAAAAAAAATAAAATTAAAATAAATACTTCTTTCATGGTATTTCCAGTGGCCTCATCCTGCAATCAACTGCTGGATGAATCCTTGCCATGGAAAATACCATTGTAACAAATAATACGGGTGCTTCTGGTGTCAAGACACCCCCTCAGGAAGGTGTTCCTGCAAGCACACGTCCGTTTGTAGGATGGAGACCTGTGTGTGTAAAGCCAGCTAGGAAATGCCAGAGGTAGCTTCAAATGAGTAAGTAAATGTATGAAAAGCAGTAGTCAGCACACTGAAGCTAGAGCTCTTTCATTTTTTCCAAAAAATTTGCTTTTCCAAGATATTTTCTCTCCCCTGATCTATAACTTTATCATTTCTAATGGCCATTGAACAGTCTCCCATGCTCCTGACTCCCAGAAAGGTCCTTCTCAATAGGTCTGACTCCTCTCAGCCAGAAGATTTGCCATACTGGTCTCTGGAGACAGTCCAGGCCTGTCTGGGTGCCACACAACTCAGCCCCATGCACTAAGTGACTGTTCTGGGAAGTTGCTTTTGGTTTTCAAATCAAGGTCACACCTTGCTGCTGCAGCTCTGTCTCTGCTCTAACTTGTGTAGGAAGGTAAGGAAGAGTCTCTGACCTCTGACACAGATTAAATTATTGCTGTGCCTTTTTTTTTTTTAATATGCTCTAATTTGTGCAATACTTGCATTTTAAGGCACAGGAGCCAATCTTCATCTACAAGCCCACCTGGCCCCCACACATAGGAACACCTCCAACCTCTAGGTCCTTTTTCTCCCCAAAAACCTGCCTAGTTTCCTTCCCACTGCTTACCTACATTCTGATCCTACTGATGGCTTTTTCCACATACTACTAAACACAGTTTATCAAGAAATAGGTAAATCTCACCTTTCTTTCATTTTACTGCAAAGCTTTATTTTTTTTCTGCACAGACCACAATACTTGGAAAGCCCATTCCTAGCTGTAACCATTTTACTGTCTACATTCCCAGCTCTAACCATTTTACCTTGTAGTTAAACTAACCAAACCTGGAGATGCTACTGAAAAAGAATCAAGCTGTGCGTTTGTTTACATAGCCTTTCAGTATTTAGTGAAATTAGCAATTATTTTTCACTACTGTTCCTGCTTATGCCTTACAATGCTCTGATGTTTGTTTGCTTTTTAAATATTAACATTTGACTTGCCAACATGGGGCAGACACCTCATGACTGTACAGTCAGATCTGCATCAGACCTCTCTGCTGATTTGTCTCAGATACAGCTGTAAGGAGAATCCAATGTCAGACAGGGCACTAGAGTAGATGCTGCTATAGGAGACGTACCTCTGATTCTAGAGCTTATTTTTGCTTAAGAAATTGGTATAAGGCATACCAGGAAAATCACGTCTCCTAATCCAGAACAGACTTAGCTTTAAGCTTTCTTGTGCTCTTAATGTACCACACTCTTCCAGTTTACCCAAATAATTGTCAAACTTCACATGACTAACCTATTGCTACAGGAATAATGGAGATATTTATATTTTTTTAATTTTAAATTTTTTTTTTAGATAGAGGAGAGATGCTCTAGACAAGAGAAGAAAAGGAAACATTCACGTGGTTTCACAGAAGCTCAGAGTGGTTGAAGTTCGAAGGTCCAACCTGAGGTAATGTGGTCCAAGCCCCCTGCTCAAACAGAGCCAGCTAGCGCCTGATGCTCAGGACCATGACTAGATGGCTTTCTCTTACCTTCAGTTTTTGAGCCTCTCCTCTAACTTTCAGCAGCTCTGTGATGGAGTCCACAAAGCCCTGGTAATGGAAGTTGCACATTTTCTCAATCTCACGATCATGGTTTCTGATCCGTGCTTCCAGCTTCTCCATGAAACGACCATGTTCTTCTCCATCATAGACAGACCTAAAAAGAAGATGCCAACATTGGTCAGGATTCTAATATCTGTTACTGTCATTACTTACAAGAAATATCCAAAATATGAGCTTTAAAAAAAAATTCCTGTGATAAAGGGAAAGTTCTGCTTTTTATTTGCATACACCAGGCACCAAACTCAGGTTTGAAAATCTTCCTATTCCAGACCTCCTTTTTCCACCTGTCAAACACCAGCTTGACATTCCCTCAGAGACAGCAACATGGCCAACTCAGCACTGAATGATCTGAAACAAAGTCTTTGTGCTCTGTCTTAGCCATCAGAGATGGCTGAGGTCAATCTGCTATCATATGCTGTAATGCTGAGCACTCCTCTTGGGCAATTTTCTGGATGTTCTTTGGCCTTCAAGGATAAAAGCTACAATAGAAAAGTATCATCTCTACAGCCGTCAAAATCCATTTCCCTTCCAACCCCCAATTTTGCCAGCACAGTTACCCCTGTTGCTGAAATGTTAACACAGCTGAAGATTACCCAAACTGATGGGGACACCTCAATCCAACATAGAGCATACATCGTGCCAGCTGCAGGTAACAAGTAATTTTTGGTACAACTACACAAAAACACTAGTGTTAAATGTAAGGGTGGAAGTTAAAAAAAATCAATCCTTCAAATTTTCTTAAATTCCACCCAACTTGGAAAAGAAGCTTGAATTGCCACGTTAAAACACTTTTTGTTCTGTCCATTACCCACGCACCCTGTCTGGTAACGATGATTATTTCCACCCGCTTTGTAAAGCAGCCTAGAAGGCGACTCATCTGCAGAAGAGCCGCTGTACAGAGGCAATAGATCATGACTGCAAAATAAGCAAGTGTTATTCTAGAAAGCAGAGGAATTGTGTCACACCCCGAAATGGTATAGGATTTTTAAGGGGTGGTTTTTTTGGGATTTTTTTAATAGTAAACATAAACAATTTCTACAGAGTGTAGAAATCCCAACCTTAGGCTTGTCTTTGTGAAGTTTTAGTAATTTTGAGAAGCAATGCTAACTCCTAAACCTGAATGCTGTCCCAGTCCAAAAAAATTAAGTATGCAGTGAGCTTTATGGAGTCAGAGCTTGTACTGTGTCAGAAAGTAAGGCCAAACTAATTACATACTGGACTCTATGCAACAATTACAGATAAAAGATGAGGAATGACAAAGCTGTAACAAGCTATAAAAATTAAAAAAAAATTACTAATCACAGCAGTGACAAGCAACACTTCAGAAAGAACCAGAACTAGACGAATCCAACTGGACAAGTTAAATCTTTCTGCCTGCAGAAAGTGGTGTGATCTGTGTTCACAAGTCACTTCAGGGAATCCCACCTCTGCCATCTGCAAAGGTCTCAAAGAAACAAAAAATATCAAGACAGAAAGAAAGCTGAAGGAAACCTATTTAATTATCATTGCTTAAAACCTGCCCTAGCAGTTTCAAATACACAGTTTCAGTAAACCATTCTGAATGGCAAACAAAAATGCCAAATCTTTATAAACCTATTTACAACTCAATGTAAAACAACCCAGTCACAAAAAGCTGAAGTCTTCAAAGGCGTCTGTATTGCCTTTTTTATTCCAAGGTAGAAGCTGGCTGGTGATAAAGGTGAAAAAGAGATATCATTTCCTAAAATTATATGAATGCCACTACTAGCATAATGCTAGCTGTTTTCCTCACAGCTTAGCAAAGCTTTGCTAGTAAAACATGAAAGTTGGAGACAGAGTGCCATCTAGTGCTGCACAGCCTCTTTGCAGGTCTCTCATGAAACTCAACCGGGTACTCCCCCCAAAAAACTCCTAACTCAAAGATAACTCACTCACATACAATAAGAAAATAAGGCTAGGCAAGTTGTGTTTTCATTCAAGAATAAATCTAAAACAAAACGAAACAAACAAAACGCAAAAAAACAAAAAACACCAACCAGTTATTATGGGTGCCAAATAAATATGCTTACATTCAAAGGAAAATACCATCAGCACTTACAGAGGTGTCTATCATTGGGGAAGGAGGGAGGGCAGAATAACATCAGAATTACTTACAAACTCTAGCCAAAGTTTCCTTTGGAGATTGCTAACCTAAGACCTAATGGCCGAATGACTAAAACACTTATTTTAGCCAAACTCTAGCACTAAAAAAAGAAGTTGGTGACAGGCAGGGATAAAACGGCAGCATCTTAAGGATTGTCTCTAAACTTATATTTAAACAAACTCTGTATCTTCCCTTCTGAGCTTTCCTATTCATCCACAACCCTCCCTCCAATGCAGAACCAGCACCCTAACTTCCATCCTCCCTCTAACACAAGAAAATGGGCAACAGCCAAGCTAAGTCCCAAACCAAACCTCAGTGCACTCCAAGGTTGCAGGATGTCAACTCCAAAGTTGCAGGATATCAAGTTCTTGCTCTGTACTGAACATCATTCAAGTGGACTACAGTGACACCACAGTGATTCTTAGCTCAAAATAAATTATGTAGCAACTCAGTTTGATTTTAAGAACAAACCTATCCCTTGCAAACATGTCAAAACACCCTTTAAGTCCCAAACTCTACCATCATCATCTTTGCTTCCCTAGCTCCGGTAGAAACCAACCTTTCTCACCTGTTTCTGCCGCTGCCCGAGCTACACTATTGCTCTTGGAAAACCATCTTGTGATCCCATATCCTTGGCTTTCGTGCACTGTTAGCTATCTAGTAATTGCCAGCTTTCTCAAGACCAACTCTGTTTGGTCTGATCCCCTCAACTGAGCGCCTTCATTATGTATTTCTTCCTTTTCAGGATTACCACATCTGGGGCATTACACTTCCCACTTCTTGCCTACCAAACCTTCAGAACACCCACTGCCTTGTTCTGGATCTAAAGGGTTTCTCCAGCTGCTCCCCTCCACCTCCTTTCTTCTGCACATACACCCTGCTCCTAGCTACATCTCTCCTAATTCAAATGTTAATTATAGCCTGATCTGGATCAAGTGGCTAGTAATTCAGAAGACATTAGAAGGTGATGCACAAAAAAATTTCTAGAAAGAAAAAATGTCTTACATGTATATTTATACCCACTAAAAATTATCCCCACTACAGCACATAATGCAAAAATAAAGTAAGGAAAACAAAAATAAAAATTGGAATTGGTTTGGGCTGTTCATTCTCTTGGTTGTAAATAACAAAGCACTGTGACAATACTATAGAAAATGATCCTTGAGGCTGCCTTTTTTTTCCCCCTTTGCTATAAAAAATTGCTGGTCAGATAGCTTTAGTAATAGGCCTCCCCCACAAAAATCCTTTTGATTAAAAAAGTCTGAGAAAGAGCAGCCTGTCCTGCGTGCACTTATCTTCTAACTCCAGAGCAGGCTGTAATTCTCTGATTGAAGACTATGCTCAGTGACAGATCTGTCTGGTTTACATTTTTTAAGTACACTCACTAAACAAAACCATTTAAGACGACTTTTAAAAGTTCTTGGATTGTATTGTTAAGTTTCACAATTTCTGCATTCATTAAAAAAATCCACTTCATTTTTTTCAAAAGGTCAACTGGAAAAATCTTTCCAGGAAAGCCATAACAGGCAAACGCATCAGGAGTTCCCATTTGCAGCCTTGCGTTATTGCAGAGTTTATCCCCCAGAACAGGGGCAACCAAATCTGGCCCACCCCAAAGCGGCCAAACCATTAACAATGAGGATGGTGTAGACATGGACTTGTGGCATGGACGTATGCTCAGGAGACTTTTCCGTTTTCCAAGCCGCAGAAAGCGAGCAGCAGCTGATGCAGAAGTACCATGTTGATGGTGAACCTTTCATACCTTCATCCTTCTCCCCGCAAGCCAAAGCCTCACTCAACTCTGCCTGTATTCAACGCCCACGTTGTAATGGACACTCTGCTGCCTTCTCCATCATTGCATCAACCACAAGAGGAAAAAACTGGGGAAAGAGCAGAGGTTTGGGGAATACAGCCCCAAAGAAGACTGAAAGAGACAACAAGCTCAGCTACAAAGCTCCTTAAAATGCGGTCAGAGGCAGGACATCTTGGGTTCTGTCACCAAGCACCAACACAATCAATGTTCTCTCTAGCTATGCTTTAGACAATCCATCTGGCTGTTCTCAGGCTGGCAGGTTCTATACCAGACACCACATACACGCTGAAAGAATGCCAGAGGAGCTTAAATTTATTGCACATGTATAAATTAATGCTAGAAAACATTTAGGAACTAGCTTTGCAGGTCCTTCCTACATCTCGTGCTCAACTGGTTAAATAAGAGGGCCTCAGGCAGCCTTGGAAAAGGCCAAGCCATGAGGCTGACCCTACAACTTCATTCTCAATGAGTGCTGCCTGCAGGACAGGGACTCAGAAGTAACCTAAATAAATTCAGCTGAAAGTACAGAGGAGGGAAATCTCTGGGGATGAAATGAAAGAGATCTGGAACAATGCAAGGAGGACATTCTGGGGACAGTGGAACAGAAGTGACTTGCTTTTGTTTTCAATTAATAAGTGGAACAAATTCCTGAGTCTGTTGTGGACTTCAATTTTATTTTATTTTTTTCCCCTTTAAACTTCTGTAGTGGTTTTAATCCTTCAGAAACATTTTCTTCTCATTAAGCTACATAAAAGCATTAGCAGTTTGTTTAATCTTATTCTAACTTTTGTAATAAACAAATTAACTACTGAGCAATGCAAAAAAAAAATTTCAAGAGTGGTGCAACAGCTCCATGGAAAAAAGGTCAAAGAAAGTTTGCAAGACTAATACCTGTTTAATATCTTAACTGTCGGGGTTCAAAGCTTTAGGCCTTGTGCTTCACAAAGTTTATCCCCATACTGACATAGCAAGTTGTACTCCAAAGATACCCCACTTTGTGTATCGCACCTGAAATTATCTCAGTGGAAAAGCAAGTGTAGAATTTGCTTCCTGTTTTCATTCTGCTAATTAAACAGAATTTAAGACCACTGTTTTGCCGTATCACTCATATAGGTTTACATTTATGTCATGAATACAGAGAAATCATTTTTTCCCTTTT